AATACCCACTCTTAAGATGCTTGCTCACAAGGAATCAAACTACAAACAACATGCTGAAGCACGACTAGCCGCTCTCGAAACCTTGGACGAGAGACGACTAGGAGCAGCTGATAAAATGATCTTCTACCATCATAGAATCAAGCATTGTCAGAATATAGGGAACGAGTCCCAAGCGTGCTTAGGGACCTAAAAAAAAGTATCATTTCTCATCCATCCAGCATTGTTGGACAACACATCAACCTGTTGGAACATTATCGAAAACGGGAAGAGGTCATGTCTCCACTGATAATGTTGCCAACGCCATTAGCAGTGGTGCCAGGATAAAAAAGGGTAGATTAGGTCTGATCACTCACGAAAAACTGCTCAGGACATCAACAAAATAGACCATAAAATGAAGATGCAGAAACGACGAAACACTTAAAACATAGAACAAAGCTTCTTTCATTAAAATCAAAGGCATCCATAAGGACGATTACATGAAATTGGAGCAAAGCAAGTGAAGAAAAGAAATTAGGCCTAAGAGAAAAAGAAGGCACTCTATGGGTCACCTAGGCACACCTCATTACTGTCTCCTCTTCATTTAGCTTGGCCTCTCTCATCTCTTTAGATGACTGCTCCCTTATCTCAAGGGCCTCCTTGGCTAGGCTGGCAAACCAAGCCACCTCCTCATAAAGAGATTTGGCATCTGGGATGCCAAATCCCAAAAGTCGCTCTATCACCCCTTTCAAGAGAAAAGGGAACATGCACAACTCATAAAGGAAGGTGTGACCGAAACAACAGTAGATGCCCTTGAGGGCCTTGTCACCGGTTTCCACATCTCGGATACTAACTCAGAGGATCGGGCTAGGTTGACATCCTTTCGGCATTGCCAGCACTACTACCATGCCCCGCTCCTAAATGTTTGCTAAGGGCTGTAACCCCTTAGAATCACCATGAGTCACGCCAGGATCACCACTATTTGCAAACATATGACTCTGAGAGTGGGTAATACGACGGGACGACATTTAAGAAATTGATCGAGCAGAGGAAAAGATAAGAGAAGCCTGAGATCAGGAATTTCCAAGGTCAATGTTCCATAGAAATGGTCCCCACATGGCCCCAAAGACTCCATTTCATAACACCCATCTCAAAATAGGGCATTGCTACTGGTAATGGTGCCATCGCCATTTCCAGCAACGTCGGAATCAAGGATTTGTCATTTCAAAACAAAGCCCAAGGCCAGGCACAAAGTCAACAAAATGACCAAAACACCTCTAACAAATTGAGAGGTAGTCCGAATGCCTTTGGCGCCATTGGCAGTGGCGCCAGAAACCCAAACCCCCCCAAATGACTCGGATCCGACACGGACGGCTGTCGGACCCCCAAAAGATGAATCTGTTGGCCTAAGTCCAACATTAGTCCTCCCAAATAGGATTTCAACGATACCTACTTGGGACAACTAGCCCTATAAATTATTTCCATCACCACACGACTTTAAACTGTGCGGTTGGCTCCCTTGTCATATGAGCTTAAACTGTAGACCTTTTCTATTTAAATAAACATTTCTATAAAATCTTATCCTCTTCCAAAAACCAAGGCGCTGAGGTAACCTTGTCTGGGAATTTCATAAGCGCTTTGTGTATGTCATTTAAAAACTTTAATTTCTATGGTTTCAATCATAACTTGTCGTTAGTACTTGTTTAAAAAATCCCTCTCTGACTTCGATCTTCTTTAAAATATTTTCAAGAACAAAAGAGTTAGATCATGATGAATAGAGTGCACATATGGTCAACCGTGTCCAAAAGGTAAAGACCGTGGCAATGAATACTAAACACCCATTTCCCCATGAAAGCTAGAAAACAAAATGAAAAACACCCCAATCGTAGACCATCTAAACTCTAAAGCCCAAGAATACACCCGTGGCATGAGGTTGACTGCGACCTACTCAATTGAGATTTCTCCATCTTTCTCATCTAAATCATATCCGCTAAATCATCAAAACTCGAACTTCATTGGAACCTTGGCACACGACCTTAGTCAAACAAATAGAGGGCTTAGCAGTGACCACCCCGAATGATGGGCTAACTCACCTCCCGGTACCAGTGATCACAGGCTTGATGGGCTGACTGATGTCACACTTTTGAAGAACATTGTTGTTTAAATTCCTTGTTACCCAACTCTATATCTCAGGCGTCTACGCCTCAGTGGCCCCATTTCTCATTGCTCATGCGTGACATAAGTATAAAAGAGGGGCAACTATAGACACTCCGGTCTCGATCGAGGAAGCTATGGAACGCCAAAAAATCCTGCGCAAGCTACTCGTGAACTTGAACCACTCATACCGTTTCCAGACCTAACCCGAAATCATGCCCCACTAGCCTAGACCGCTCGGTAGAGCTCACAACACCGAAGAACACCCTTGAAGGTAGATCAGAACTTAAGACTATTAAGATGAAAGCAACCTAGAAGTAGAAAGTTCTGGCGCCACCTAGCGACGACACAAGCTGCCCGATACTCTAGTTAGACATGGTAACACGTGGCAGAAGAAAAGGTCTGACGCCATTGCCAGTGGCGTCGGTGCCACTTAAACCAGCACCAGGCCTCTTACAGTAAAAGTTAAAGGCAACCTGTATATACAAACTCGTGTCGTTTGTTAGTACGAACTGACACGTGCCAGAAAGGACTGACATGTCAGATGTCAGTACAGAAGGATGTGCCACCTTCGGATTTGTCAAGGAAATGTCACATCAGCTGTCAATCGTATGATAACACACTAATGGTCGACTAATATCGACGACTCCTGGAATGATGCCAAAGGCAATCAGAATGGTGACGGTTTTTGATTGGTCCATCAATTTTATTGAAGAATGACCAGAAGACGACACGTGGTCAATTTTTTCAGAAAGCAACTCCATGGTGCCAATGCCATTGCCTATGGCATTGGGCTTCCAACATAGCTCACAAAGTTGTATCCGGGTGAGTGTCACGTGATTATGAAGCATTTTAATTTTGTTGACTACATTTAATGATAATTAATACTAATTTTGACGCACATGTCTAACTAGAGTATTAAAATAATTTTGAAGCATTAAAATAACCAACAGTGATCCTCGAACTAATATTATTGATTATTTTAATGCTTCAAAGTTAAAATAATCAATAATATTAGTGTCATTTTCTGGGTCATTATTAGTGTCAATAATATTAGTGTCAGCATTAAAATAATCAATAATATTAGTGTTACCATTTTGCTTCATTCAAATATCTCTGTTAGGTGAAGACTTGAGATATCTAATAATCCTATTGATAACTTTTATATGACAAGATCTAGGAGTATGCATAAATTGGCTCACAAGACTAACTGCATGCAATATGCTGGTCTTGTTACAATCAAATAAATCAAATTTCCCACAAGTCCCTGAAAATTACTCACATCTTCAATGGGTTTACCATCAATTAAATTAAGATTGCAATTAAGATCGACATGGGTGTCAATGAGTTTGACTCCCATTTTTCCAGTTTCTTTCAACAAATCTAAGATGCATTAAAGAGTCGCTTTTTTTAATATGTTACTCCAATGTCAAGAAAATACTCTAGTTGACCTAGATCCTTGATGTCCAATTCTCTACGAAGATAGTTCTTAAGTTTCATGATTCTTTCTTTATCATCACTTGTAATGATCATATTATCAACATAAATGAGTACAACTATTGTACCTGAAGTTCTTTTTTTACAAATGTCGAAGAATATTGTACCTGAAGTTCTAAGAAACCCAACACTCATCAAGGTTGAGCTGAGTTTAGCATACCATGCACTGGGCGATTGGTTAAGTATGTGCAAGACGTTCTTTAATTTGCATACAAGATATTTCACATTTCCTTTAGGAGGGCTTGGAGGAAAATTCATATAGACTTCTTCTTCAAGGTCACCGTGTAAGAAGGCATTTTTAACATCCATCTGTTGCAAAAACCATTAACAATTAACTTCGAAAGACAAAAAAACTCGAACAATATTTATCTTGACAATTGGTGCAAATGTTTCTTTGTAGTCAATTCCATATGTTTGGGTAAATCTTTTAGCTACTAACCTGACTTTATGTCTATCAATAGATCCACCACTGTTATATGTAATTTTAAAAACCCATCTATATCCAACTGTTTTATTTTCTTTAGGTAACTTGACAATGTCTTAAATATGGTTATTGTCAAGTGCTTCAAGTTCCTTTTTCATGGCTTTCCTATACACATGTTGAGAAATAGTATTTTGAAAATTTATTGGCTCAGAATTATTAAAAATGGATATAAAAAAAGCAAAATAGCTAGGAGAAATATTTTCATGAGAAACATGATTTTGAACAGGATAAGAAACTGTGTGGTAAGTATAAAAATCTTGAAGCCTAAAAGAAAGTTGAGAGATAAGAGAGAATAGACGCCATTTTTTTTTACATTACGAGCATATCCCTTTGGCCCTCTTTTTTATTTATTTTTTAAATTTTACCCTCACTTTCGGAGATTGAAAATCCAAAGTTGCTAATCATCTTTTTTTTAAAAGTGATATTGAAAATCCAATGTCAAACTTGACTTGGGTTTTGAATATATGATGTTATAATGCAACTTCATATATTAAAAATTTGATGTCGAGAGGGAACTTAACATTTTTGACATCTTTTCCTAAAAATGACTTAAAAAAAGAAATACGACTACTAAAGTGCTGGAAATCCAAAGTCGTTCATGACTTCGAATGTTCAACCTCCACAGACCGGAATAAAAAATTACATACTAAAAGGACATGCACGTAAGATATAGAAATTGAGGGGGATTTTTATTTTTTTTGATAATTTTTAAATAAAATATGCGGACAAATTTCTCAAAAAAATAAAAATAATACATATTTGATGAGAATCTTACGTGGACTAGCTCCGTGAGGAACGTAACGGCGAATAACGGATACTTAACGGCGATAATTCACTCAACTTTATAAATTCGGGGGCTTGAGGGGAAAAACAAAATAAAAAATAAAAAATAAAAAATCAGAGGCCTTCCCTTAAAGGAGAGGCCTTCCGTTAATAGAGAGGTCGTCCCTTCATTCTTCCAAATCTTCTGCAAGTCCTCTTCCCTATACTTCTCGCGGTCCTCTGTCGCACCACTCCATACTGCTTAGGGCAAGCAATGTCCGTTGATCCCGATCTTCTAGGTTTTTTCCTTGTATTCTAGCTGTTGATCTGACGGATTGTTGGTTCTGATTGCACAAGAGCCTGGTTGGAGTTCTAAGAGAAGAAATCGTCGAGTGACAGAGAGATCGCCCATGACGATTGGCTCAGGAGGGTCCAGCGTTGTTGGTTAGTCTTCCTTTTGTCTATAATATTTATTTCCTATATTTTTCCATGGGTTTTGGATATGTCCGTTATTTGTATATCTTTTTCCTCTGTATTTGATAAAATTTGTATTTGTTTCTCCCTATGATATTTTGTTTTTTGAGTTTAGATATTGACTGTGTCTGGTTTGTGAATATTTGTAGATGTATGATATGTTTTTAATTGGTGTGGTTTGAGTCGCGTTAGAAAATGAATTTTATTTTGTTTAGGGATTTACGTGAATTTCATGTTGTGTTTGAGCTGATTTGATTTGGTTTTTTCCATTCTATTTTTGTAGATGCGAGGTTTGGTCTATTGTTCATAAATTCTGTTTTTTTTTCCTTTGTTTACTTTTGTTTCCATAGTTTAATTTTTTTGATTTTTTGCAATTTAAGACAAATCGTTTCTCTAGCTCATGCTATCCTCATAGGTTTATAGAAACTGCGGCATAATCTGATTTGACGTTTATGGAAAATAGTGGCATAATCTGATGGGACTGCGTGATGTATCCATGTTCGATTTGAGCATTAGATGTACAGAGTTTGGTACGTAAGTTACTCGATAGTTTCATCCCATATTAATTGCATTTGAAAGACTTGAGATTTCCTACAATTTGAGAAAACTTGAGAATATTTGGCGCAGAACTTGCCAAACCCTAACAAAAGTATGTGAATATTTGAAATCCATGTGAATCAGATTATTTTTATGGAGGAAGAGAAACCAATTTGAATGAGTTTATGAATTTTGTGTCAAGTTTTTGAAAGGACTTTGTGATAAAGCACGCGGTATATTTTAAAAATTTTCTTTATTCTTACACCGGCAATATCACTTACAATATCCAATTAAAAATAAACCACTCTTGAAATAAATAAAAATAAATAACAACTAGTTCTCAATTGCTACCTCTTCAAATACAACTCTTTATTCAACAAAAAAAAATCTGACTTATTCCTCTGTGGGAAGAGAAGAGCAAATCACAAATAAATATTTAACGAAGTAAAATTGCTGGAGATTACTATCTCAACAAGATTGGTACACCCCACATTGAGTCTACTCCTTTCGATGGTGCTCGGGATCTATGATCGGTCTCTTGATTCTCCTACTATGACAAAAACCCTGTCAATGACATGTGGATTTCGATCTAGAACCAACTACCTAATACCTCAATGTTTTAGTCTTGTCCAAGCTCCCTTGGCTTGATCTTCAGAGAGATGAGAGATAGAAATCAAATAGAGGAAAAAATCTATTAGCAAGAGGATCTTCCCCTTTGCTACCCACTATAAAAAACCATCAACCCTAGCTTTGGGCCTACCACTTAGGAAACGAGAGAGAAATGAGATATCTAAGTTGGGGCGTGGCCCTCTTGAAGACTTAGAAAGAAAGTAACAACCTTAGGTTGGGGCGTGCCCCTATTAAGAGATCTAGGAGAATGATATTTTTTAGAGTGATTTTTGTGAAGGGGGAGAGTCCTTTTTATAGATTTTTTATGTTTTGGGGTTTGTCATAATTCGTAGGATCAAATCTTGACCGTTGATCTAGGAAGACTTATGGCGTGAGAGATGCGAGTCATCCATTCATTTGATCTACCATCAACATTCAAAGGAAGGTGCTAGAACCTTATCCTTATTTTCTAAATCTATTTTCATCAAATCTTTAAATAGGAAAAGTATATATCTTACTTTCTATTTTAATATATCCATTTCTTATTTCTTGAATCAAGTAACTTTGATTCAAAAGATTTATTAAATATTTTAAATATTTGAATTTATCATGTAAGTTGGCTATATCCAAAAAGACAAAGCCAACCAACAGGGGATAACCATCACCTGACTAGGTGATCAAGTTAATCCCTATGGGTGGGGTGTGCTACCTTTTGGTGGCCACATGTGGGCTCACCCAATTTCTACATGTGCCAAATTGGGTGGGGTCCACTTGTGGCCACCAAAGAGTGGCATGCATCACCCATAGGGATTAATTTAATTTCCACACGTGCCAAATTGGGTGGGGCCATGTGTGGCCACCAAAAGGTGACCCACCCCACCCATAGGGATTAACTTGATCGCCAAGTAAGGTGTTTATTGGTTTTTTCTTTTTGGATATAACTAGCTTATATGATAAATTCAAATATTTGAAATATTTAGTAAATCGTGTGAATCAATATTACTTGATTCAAGAAGTAAGGACTGAATATATTAAAATAGAAAATAAGATATAGACTTTTTTTATTTAAAGATTTGATGGGAATAAATGTAGGAAAGAGAGGATAAGGTTCTAACACCTTCATTTGAATCTTGATTGTGGATCAAATGAATGGATGACTTACATCTCTCAGCCCACAAGTCTTCTTAGATTGATGGTCAATATTTGATCTTACAAATTATGGCAAACCCTAAGGCATAAAAAATCTATAAAAAGGATTCTCCCCCTACAGCAATCTTTACACCTCTTCTCTCTCTAAGAATTATCTCTCTCCTAGACTCATGAGGGGGACGCCCCAACCTAGGGTTGTTACTTTCTCTCTCGAAGTCCACATCCCAACCTTGGTATCTCATCTCTCTCGTTTCTTAGGTGGTACACCCAAGGCTAGGGTTGGTAGTTTTTTATAGTGGGTAGCAAAGGGGAGGATTCCCTTGCTAGTAGATCTCTCCCTCTCTCGTTGATTTCTATCTCGCATCTATCTAAAGATCAAGCCAAGGGGGCTTGAGCAAGACTAAGGCATTGAGGCATTAGGTAGTTGGTTCTAGATCGAGATCCATATGCCATTGAGAGGGTTTTGTCCATAGTAGGAGAATCAAGAGACCGATCATAGATCTCGAGCACTATCGGAAGGAGGAGACTCGGCGCGGGGTGTACTAAGCCCGTTGAGGTAATCTCTAGCAATTTTACTTCAGCAATTTTACTTCTTTAAATCTTTACTTATGATTTGCTATTCTCTTCCCACAAAGCAATAAGTCTAGTTTCTGATAGTTGAATAAAGAGTTGTACTTGAAGAGGTAGCAATTGAGAACCTGTTGTTATTTATTTTTATTTATTTCAAGAGTGGTTTATTTGTAATTGGATATTGTAAGTGATATTGCCGGTGTAGGAATAAAGACAATTTTTAAAATATATACACTGTGCTTTATCACAAAGTCCTTTCAGTTTCCACAATGCATAATGAAGCTTTGGTATCCTGAGTTCTTTTCTTTCTCTACGTCTTATTGTATGGTAGTAGTTTTTTACTTGAGGGTGCAATGTATTGAACTCAAGTATTTTTGTAAAATATCAACAAACACTATAAGAATGACTGTGTTTTCCCCTTTGCCTCATATTTATCACTCTGTATATTAGTGCTATTTTTCATTCGTGTTACTCTTGCATGTGAAGAATTGGAGTGGTGCAAAGAATTTTATGTATTTTGATTTGATTGCCTTTGCACTTTGTGCTCATTCAACTTATTGGAATTGTCAATTTTTATAAAATGGGCTACTTGTTGTGCAGGCCATGTTGTGTTTAGATATTTGCCATTGTTTGGTATTGGGGCCATCCTGGATGTTGTGATCATTTTAATGGATGGTGCAGATTTTCATTCATATTATCAATGCATGCTTGATTCTAGGTTAGCTCAAGTTAATACACGGTTCACTTTTAATTCAATTTATTAATATTGGAAGGGGCATATGGATGTTAATTTATTTATTTTGATGAGATTCTTTTGATCACATATAGAAACAATATTTTAGTGACCAAAAATGTTTTTAATGGTTCACATATATAAAGTATAAGGAAGATAGCCTATATTTCCCTGAATACCTTAGTGCTGATGCTTCTACCCATATTCAAATAGAATTCTGCAACTCACATAGTTTAGTTTAATTAATCTCAAATTGCATGTGCGGCGTCAGTAAGGCGGTGTAGAATATTGGATTCAACAATGCTTAAACCTGTAAGCCCTTAAAAAAAGTAAGATTGGATGAAATTTTGTCCCATGTTGACAAGTTTTCGTTGTGTTTTTTAAATCTTGAACCTATAATCACTTTGAGTAGTTCATTAGCGGACAATGGTATGGATGCAATTGACAGTGGTATGGATGTAATTGCAGTGGACTTAGTGACCGTTTTTTTGAGAAAGTTAACTTGAGTTGACTTAGTGACTGTTTTTGTTAGACTTTTGTTATTTCTACAGTGGTTTAGCATTCTATGGCAAACTGGCTGTTCTATATTTCAAAAATTAGAATCTACATGTTTGCATTCGACAAATATTTTTTTTTTGATACATGTGTGCATTCGACATATAGGGTGTGAGGAATAGTGTATCCCAGTATGCATTCTGTGACATAGCAATTCCTGGACCTTTGGAGCCTCCACTAATGATGTAGGACAATGTGTCAGATCATGGGCTTAAACCATGCACTCAATTTTTTTATGTCAGACGGACATAGCGGATTTAAGAGATTTGGTTTTTGAGTGGGGTGTGGTTTATAGAAGGTTGTAATTTTATTTTTAGAAGTAAGGTTGAGATGTTCTACACTGTCCTTTTTGTTTGGACAATGTAGATTTGACATGTCTTTTAAACTAGTGTCATTTTAAAAGAGTGTAAAAAAGTGGCACGTCTTTTAAGATAGTGTCAAATCAACACTGTCCAAATTAAAATAGATGGTATAGATTATTGCAACTTTACTTCTACTAGTAAGGTTACAACCTTTTATAAACCTTTTCCTTTAGATTGATCCCACCACTTTTCAGATATAATGTTTACTAATTTCAATACATCCATAGTCCATGCTGACATCATGGTCCAGTTAGTCTGGTTTATCAACTTGTTTACATGCTATTGGACTTGCCATGTGCAAACTAATGTGTGTCATCCTTGAAATTCCACTTGTTTAGGCATGTGCTACTAGCAGTGAAATTTACCCATTTTAATGGTTGGATAAAAAAGGGTTGTATGGCTACTCATTTATATAATACTTTTTGTTAAATGGGAAGGGTATGCGACATCCACTA